AATTGTTTAAATTAATTATTTTCAATTAAATTTTGCAAAATTTTAACTATTTAAAAGATTTTTATTATAGATATATTTGAAAAATTTAATTATGTTCAAAATGATTCAAAAACAATTTTTGAAAGATTTGTTTAAAGTTATTTGTAGCATTATAAAACTAAAAAAAGGTATACTCTTTTAATAAAAATCGTTGTATTTTGTTGCAATGTTTGGAAGAAAAGTCGAAAAAGTCGCAATTTTTTAAAATAAGTCGAAAAAAGTCTCATTTTTTTAATTTCCCTGTCAGAATTTTTTTTCCTTACATTTGCCTGACTTTACTGAAAAAATTTTGTTTCCCTGATATTTCCCTGACTTTACTAACAATCTGACATGTGGCCACCCTGAAATAGTTAAAAGAAGTGTTTATATTTTAATATTTCTATTATGAACATCTTTAAAATTGTACTATTTTTAATCTTACCATTCAAAAGATTGCTAGAAAACAAAGTTGGGTAAGCTTTTGCTTTTAAATAAAAACCACCTCTTTTTCTTTTGTAAAAGCAATGCTCTTCAAAATGAGCATCACAAATCAGGCTTTTTTCGGTAGGTTGAAATTCTTTCAGTCCAATACTCACTAACCATCGATTTAAAAGTTGTTCGTTATTTAAAGGAAAACTGTAAAGTGTAAACAGATATCATTAACATAATTAGAAAATTCATAAAATTTGTACGTCAGAAATATCTGCAAGAATACAAGGACTGAAACTTTTATAATATATATTCTACCTGCGGAAATGAATATTGCATCCTGATCTTTTGATATTGTCGCAACAGACACATTTTAAAGAGGATGCATCAAACTTTGTTGTAACACTATTTGAGTGGACTTTTTTTATTTCATTTGTCTCCTTTGAAAAACATGTGTCTTCAAAGTGATCAGAATACAACCTACTATTTGGTTTTATATTGAAATTTTCACCCACTACCATATTTTGTAGCCACATTTTTTGGGTCTTCAAACATTTAGGGAATCTGAAAATTATAATTTATTATAATTTATTACCAAAAACAATATATAATAATTATCCAGGGAATACAAAAAAATAGGGGAGGTGGGGGCGAAGCGACGCACTTTTCTTCATTTTAAAATATTTTCTAATTTCGATTAAATATCGAATTGTGCGTTGTACCATACGATGTGTCAAGACGTAACGCAACTTTTGTTAATGTATAGTTTGTTGATAGGCTAAACCTGAAAAAAGTTATAGACAATTTTCTAACCACGAAAATAGTGGGGCGAAGCGACGATAGCGGGGCGAAGCGACGCACTCAAAATTACCTGCATTTTAAACGAATTATCTTATCTAAAAGTAAATAAACAAAGAAGATTATTGTAAATTTATTGTTTATTTAAATATTTGTTAATTAAATAAAAGTTTAATAATTTTTAAATTATAATTTTCAAATCAAATTAAATATTAAAAATATAAAATATTTTTTAAACATGAGAAAAATGTTTTTTAGCTTTATTCAGAGTCTGTCGTTAATTCTTCATAACTTTTTTAAAAAACCGCCATTCGTCGGCTCTTGATGCGTCTTGGTACCGCTGTCACTTAGCCCCCTCAAGAATGCGTCGCTTCGCCCCAAGGTACATTTTTTATTTCAAAATATTATATCTTCATTTCTAAACGTAAAGTCCAAAAATTGTTTACAGTTCTTAAAAATACTGGTATTAAACTTTCCAAAGCACATACTTTTAATTCCAAGTAGCAAGAATAAGTGGCAAAAAATTTGATATCTGTTATCTCGAAAAACTAAATGCCCAAAGGTCAAAAACACATTATTTATTGTCAAACGCTTATAAGTTAATAAAATAAAATTTGTTTTGCCACCAATTATGAAGGTTAAAAAGGTGCAATTAATAATATATTTTTTAAAAAATTAAACGTTATTGTACTCGAGAAATGTTGACTGCGTCGCTTCGCCCCCACCTCCCCTATATCGAGAAACTATCACTATACATGTAAAAAAAATTTCTGTAGATTTACAGTCTTGTTCAGAATTTTATAGAACTTTGTAAAATAGTCTTTAAAAGTAGCGAATTTAAAATCCTTTCTGTAAAATGAATACTTTAAATGAGTCAATTTTCTATAAATTTACTACTCTGAAAGTAGATAATATTTTTGTCTTTTTATTACCTACTTTCAGAAAAATTAATTTTACCGAAAAATGTAAAATTACACAGGTCAACAAAAAAAGACTTACTTTTTTTTTATGAGATAGCGGAATGGTTTCCTATGTATTTTTGGACGCTGAACACGATCCCGACTTCCAAAATTGCCCATCACGTCAGGATTTTGAGAAAAGTGGGGGTAAAGACCCCAAAAACGCTTTTTTGAGGAATTTCAACATTTATTTTCTCTTTAACCTGACGTGCTAGAGACTTCCACAAGGTCTTAAATTAAAGCTTATAATGTGCACTAAAAGACCAATATCCATAAAATAAAAAAAAATAAAAATTTTTTTCAAAAAATGGGTTTGAAGACACCAAATATTTGTGTTTTTGGATTGCTTTAATAGACTTTTTGCAATTGCTTGGATTCGCATGAAAATGGTTACTTGGGGCTTTTGGGGTCACTGATTACGAATCCGATATTAGTTTGCAAAAATTAAAAATGGCGGATTCGTAATCAGCGACCCAAAAAACCCTGAAATAACAATTTTCAAGCGAATCCAAGCAATTCTTAATTTTTACATCTGCCATCTTGGTTTCGCCGTTTTAAATTTTTGCAAACAAATATTGGATTCGTAATCAGCGACCCCAAAAACCCCAAGTACCAATTTTTAAGCGAATCCAAGCGATTGCAAGAAGTCTATTAAAGCAATCCAAAAACACAAATTTTTGGTGTCTTCAACCCCATTTTAAAAAAAAAAAATTTAATTTTTTTTTATTTTATGGATATTGGTCTTGTAGTGCACATTACAAGCTTTAATTTAAGACCTTGTGGAAGTCTCTAGCACGTTAGGTTAAAGAGAAAAAAAATGTTGAAAATCCTCAAAAAAGCGTTTTTGGGGTCTTTACCCCCACTTTTCTCAAAATCCTGACGTGATGGTCAAATTTGGAAGTCGGGATCGTGTTCAGCGTCCAAAAATACATAGGAAACCATTCCGCTATCTCATAAAAAAAAGTAAGTCTTTTTTTGTTGACCTGTGTTATCAACTTAGAAGTATTCATTTTACAGAAGGGATTTTAAATTCATTACTTTCAAAGATAATATTTTACATGTTCCTATAATATTCTGAACAAAACTAAATCTACAGAAAATTTTTTTACAGTGCAGGTATATCTTATGGAAATTTTGCATAAATTTGTTTTTTATTACAAAAAATTATTATAATTTATTAATTAATTTATTTAAAGGAATTTTTTTATAAAATAATCGAGAAATTGACAACCTTATTGTAAATGGTAAAATTATACAAAATTGCACAACTTAAAAAAAACAAAACATTCAACATAACCTAAAATACATATAACGTTATCTTCGTAATATTATTGAAATTTTTACTTACTTGTAAAAAGAAACTCCCTCTGATTTGTGTTTCCCGCAGAAAATGCAAATAACGACCATATTTACTTATTTTTAAATAATATAATTTTTAGTTATTATTGTCACATGTCATAACACAATCACGCTACACTAATACTAACAGCATTCTAAGCTCACCTATGTAGCCAAACTCTACTCAAAACATGGCCGTCGATGCTTCAATACGAAGCACACCGGAAGCCAGTTTTCTACAGGAATCGCCCATCCAGTTATATATAGAGATCAGTGGTAGGACCTTACACGACAATTCTCTCTTAAGTTAATCTTCCACAAAAATTGTCGTATGGAAGATTCGACTGTAATACAAAATCATTGCAAAACTGACTCATTTGCTACACAACTCTTTCAATGTTTAATAATTTGTCCTAAAAAGATAAAGCCGTTTTATTAATAGATCCAAACTCGCTTCAATATGGTAAAAGGCTCCGCTGATGGTTGTCCACTGCCAAACATGACCGACATCATGGATATGATTGGTAGACCTTGATAGTGGTGTCTGGGTTTTCACTAAAGAACAACCAAAACAGCAAGACCATGATGAGCGATTGCGAAAACAAGGAGTACCTGCAGGATAAAGCTTCGGCTGAATCCGTCACTGGTTCCGACCACCAAGCGCCTAGAGCGAGGCGGTGAACAGTGGGGAGTTAGGCCAGGTGCAAATCTGTTTTCAGCAATGCATTTGAACTTAACATCGCAAGCTACAACGAGGACAGGATATCGGTGCATTAAGCTACGTAATGAAGAGACAGCATGCATTGATAGAATCGCAGAGGAAATAAGCAAGATGCTGAAGTCTTGCGAAATATAAAGGAATATGAACGATACAATCAAGGAGGGAGTTAAAAGTCTAACGTGCCTCATACAGGAAGTAAGATTCAAGCACGCAAAATAGAAGAAGAAAGACGAGTGTCTCTACTAAGAATGGGTCTGGGCAGAAGAGGCACGTCACAATAGGAAACTCAGAAGAGACAGAATCAACGCAATTGCGTTGAGAAACGTTGTTCTTGAGCATCAGAAAAAAGTATTCCTGAGGCAACAAAAGACTTGAAAAAAATGAATAGGAAGAGAAACTTCCTAAACAAAGCAGAATTGTCAGGACTTCATGGGTATTTGCAAGCTTTACGCTTTGAGCATATATTAATTTTTTATTAATGGAGTTAGAAACGGATACATTTATGCTTAGAGCGCTTATCTGACATGATTTGATCAACCGATATTCTATGATATTAATATTTAAAATAGATTATTAATATTAATCATTAATATTCGTTTCCGAATCCTTTAACTGAAAATCAGAATTTTATTACAGATTTAGCATTTAATATTGTCATAAATAGACAACATGATACAAACTAGTCAAAACAAATATTTTGAACTAAAACCAAATAAGAACTATTTAAATTATCTAACCTTGTAATATTGAACACCAACAGCTTTACTATCCTCTATAATTAATCTGGCCACTGTAGCGTTTAACATGATGTGCAGATTACGGCGATTTCTTATGGGTCTCAGAAAAGCAGCGGCACTACTGACTCTTACACCATTCTTACTATTTGTTTGAGCGATTGTAAATCCACTAACATCATCACCATTTAAATCTTCTATTAGTTTATATCCCACTTCTTCGGCTGCTTTTAAGATATCATTCGTGATTGGAGGTTGCCAAGAAAACCTTTCTACATTTAAAGGGCCACCTGCTGAATGATATTTGGTTCCAACTCTATGAAGTTCAGTATTGTTTTCCATACACATGAAATATGGCAATACCTTAAGAAAAAATATTGAATTTTATGTATACGGGCATATATCTAGAACTTTTAAACTTTATGTTTCCGTCTATTATTATATTTTCAAAATTATAAAAATAATTTTGCAGTACCATAATTTGATAAATTATTGTGCTCTTTAAATATACCTTGTGTATAATAATCATTTTAATTAGGTAGGGAACGACAAAAGTAAGTAAAAGTGTCGAAATCGTCAGTTTCTCGTGTGTGACATTGACTGCTTTTTCAGTTTATATGGTATAACTTTTTTAACGAGTCATTAAATATTTTGTGACTTATAGTAGATGTAGTGGGGAGTATAGGGAACCAAAAAATAATTGAGACAATGATGTGCCTCAATTAAGATAAAAAGGGTGTACCTTCATACTTGCGAGACAACTTTTCTTAAATTTTGACATTGTTACATTGTCTACATAATAAGAAGTAATTTGAACCCTTACAGGAATATGTGCCACTTATACATTAGGAATGCAGTGATTTCAAAAGTTAAATTTAAAAACGAAACTCATAATAAAAACCCACATTTTTGAAGGGCACATGTTGAATTTGACTTCTAATCACTTTTAGCTCATTGTAATCTCTTCTCGTACATTATGAAAGTATACAGAAAAATCGTTAACCTCTACACTATTCCTAAAAAGAATTTATCTAAGAAAGAATGCGAGCTTCTACTGTCATAATCATTGCTTCATGGAAAAAGAAAGCATTAAACTCGCAAGTTTGCCTAAAATTTATTATTTATAGGTTTCTGGGGTCCTTTGATTACAAATCTGAAGTTAGTTGAAACAAATTTTAAATGGCGAATACAAAATGGCGGACGAAATTTTAGAAAAATTATCAGATTTTAATATCTTTTGACATTTAAGAGTTTCCTGTTTTGCTGATTACGAATTTGAAATAATTTTTAAAAAATTTTTAATAGAGAATCCAATATGGTGGATACATTTCTGAAAAATCAAATCTTTTTGCATGATTTTTTTAAACTTCTCGTTGTTATATAATGATTTGAATTTACATAATTCAAGAATTGTTAAAAAAAATTTACTAGACTTTTATAGATAATAGGATTTAAAATAATAATAGGATAATAATAATAATAGAATTTTAAATTTTATTTTCATAATCTTAATTTAATTTTAAATTATTTATTTAATTTATTATTTACATTTTTATTCTGTTCTTAGAATTGTAAACTTCTTTTTTTTCGTTTCCATGGTAATATTATTTTAAATGTGTCAAAATGTTTTGATTGCCGAATGTAGATAATATGTATTTTATATAAATAATATTAATTATGAATAAAGAAAGGGAAGTAAAACTTTCAATTAAACGTTATTCATTTTTTGTTCATACTGTTTGTACTTTTAATATAAAATAAAACTAGAAAATTTTTTAGAATATTAAAATAATTATATCTCGTGGTTATTTATTTACTTCTATTGCTTTTCAATTATAATTAATCCTAAAATATTTTTAAAACAGTATTTAAAATATCAATAATTTTTATAACATTTTGAAACCACTTTTAAAATTTTTAAAAAACTAAATTCAGATTCATAATAATTAGCGACCCCAAAAACCCCTTTATACCCACTTCTGTGCAAATTGAATTATTTTTTAAATTGTCATCCGCCATATTGGATCCGCCATTTGGAATTTTCGAAATCCGACTACAGAATCATAATCAGCGAACCCAAAAACCCATGAATATCCAATGCTGTGGAAATCAATTAATTTTTTTAAAATTTTGTCCACCATATTGGATCCGACATTTTGAATTTTGAAAAATTAACATCATATTCGTAATCAGCTACCCTAAAAACCCCAAAATACCGATTGATGTGAAAATCTAATTTTATAAAAAATCTATACATTTAGAAACATTTTCTTGGAGTTAAACTCATACACAGGGGGTTAACAAGATATAGAAATAAGTATCGCAAGGTTTTTTCTACTATTTGATCTATGCACAAAACAATAAAATTAATTTCAAGAATGTGCCTTGAAAAGAAGAATTAAGTTTTCCAATACCTAAAAGTTTAAAAGTTCTAGAGATATGCCCATAGACAGAGCCAAATTTTTTAAGTATCCTAACTTTAAAATCAAAGGGTTTCCAATCGGATTGAATTTTGAACAGACTGAAATGCTTACGTAATACTTGAATGGTCGCTAGGTCAAAATTTTTCCACACAACTGCATCTTAGTTATGGTAGCTAAGAGGATCCACCGTTCAGTTAACTTAAAATTTTAACCCTCTCCCTCTTCTATAATTTATAATAGAACCTTGTAATACTTCTGAGATCAAGTGCTTTCCCATAGTACCAAAGTTAATGCAAAATCCAGCCTGATTTGAAAACCTTCAATTATTAAGTTGGGATACTTGAGAAATTTTGACCCACATACATGCATTTTTGTAGTTAACGTTAGGCATATTTTTTAATAGGATCAAGATTATTTTTATTTAAATAATGACCCTAATAGCATCTGGATGTTCAAGATATCCTTCGAACGTTTTAAGTATATCCGGATATTTTTATATCCCACGAACATACATGGATATTTTGAGGACATTTTAAGAATATCCTAATTGGCGGATACGACTAGGAGGTTTGTAAGATATCTTGGAATATCCGTTGCTGATAAGGTACAAAATCAAAGTAACATTTGTGAAGCCAAATATTTGTTATGTACGCTAACTACCAAAGTTTATCTTGAATGACGGAACATTTTTCATTTAAAGATTACAAAAAAGACTTAAAACCACTTCTATGTGACTAGCTTTAGATCTCTTTTATTTCAGTTCTACTAGATAAATTGTGTGTTTTGTGTTCTTATTTTTTAATTATTTTAATACACAGAGAAACTATCAGTAACAATATTTCTTTTATTGTTAATTATTATGTACAATAAACATCCCACGTGAAATAAGGCTACCGGTAAAATCCGCGGATTTTAAGGAATCCCCAAATTTCTTTTTCGTAAAAATGAAGGAATTGGATGTCATAAATTGTCCACCGGATATACAGGTGAATTCTGGCCAAAATTTTCGGGATACCTTATGTCAAGTAGCGAAAATAACACCAAGAAATCACCAATTTTCTGAGTAAATTTATATCAACATCATTATGGAAGTTTACCTCAAATAGTGAAAATTATACACCAGAATATTATTAGGAGTCAGGATTAATTAAGGTCAATTTCTTTAAAGAAGTTAACTACAAATATATATAAAAAATCAGGAAGTAACAAATTTTTTGGGCCAATATAAGTCAACTTCTTTGGAGAAATAAACCTTTAATAGCAAAAAAATGCACCATGAAGTAACGAAGTTTCCAGGTCGATTCAAGTCATTTTAGCATTAGATAAGTTTCCTTCGCGGTAAGAAGAGGTTGATTGAAAGAAATTTAAATGTTTACAAATATCGCTTAATTCTGAATCATTTCAATGACACACTAATGTCATTTTTGATGTCATATTTTTTAATTCAATTAGAGATAATTTATCTGCATACATTTATATTCTGTTTAATTTCGTACTCAATTTAATTCGGATAGAGTGATTATAATTGAAATAAATTGAATTGCGTTTAATACCATAAAATTTGTAATCATTTAAATTCCATATATTGTGACCGGGTCTGAGAAAAGGGACCTACTTACCAAAATTAACTTTTCGAGAAAAACGCGTTTAAAGTTTTCTATCCAAATAAATTAGATTTCTTGAAACATTTTAAATTAACATGATGAGTGTTCTTTATGTATTTTTTTATGCTGAATCCGATTTTCTTAGTTAAATAATTGTTCAAACAACCCTGTAATTGTTATAAACAATTTATTTTGCAAAAGTCAAATTATGGAATTTTCAAAATTAATTTAAAAGACTTCCGTATGTCCTAGCACAACCAGGTTGCCGATAACGGGTATACTTGGGGATCATCTTCGAGGAATTAAGTAAAATTTTTTGTAAATGGTTTAGGCATTCAACTTAAGATTTGGGGGAAATATTCTTGACACTTAGAAAACCAAGAGTAATTTTTGTTTTAAAATTACTTTTATTTTATTTTAAAAAAATGACTGTCATTCCCGGTTAAGGGCACCTTTATGTTAAGGAGGCTCTACCATCTGACGATGATGTGGACTACTGTCTCATCTATCTAAACTTTCTGTCAAGGAAATTGACAGCCGCAAACTCCATTAAATGCAATGAATATAGTCGTTCAGTGTATTAGAAGTGCGTTGATATACGTGCTAGCTACTTCACATACAAGCATTATGCTTCTGTTAGCGATGAGTAGGTATAGTCTCTTAAAATAAAGAAATTTTAATTTCTTCTTTATTTGTGGTGGTTTTCTTTAATATCTTTCATTTTTAGCGGATTTTTCAAGGGTGCCCACAACCGGGTACAAAATTATTTTTTTCAAAATCAACCTCTTCTCACCGGGTACTATTTTCACAGGAATTTTTTTCTTTGAATAAAAAAAATTCCTTTTGTGCAAACATTTTTTAAAGTCAATCTAAACTAAAGTGAAAATTATTAATAATTTAGTACACTGAGAGAAGAAAAGCACAGAATTCGTATTGTGACAAACACCGGCCGTGTAAAATGCGTGTCAGTGCCCGTTCTTAATTTTATTCAGTTGGTGTCATTCATAGTTCAGATACTATGCTCAAGCAGCGCGGCGGCGGTACGAACTAATTAGTACAGGATCTGTTTCATAGCGACCGACAGATACTGTACTTCTAAGCAGTAGCATTTGAAGTACAACATCTGTACCTCAAGCCGAAGTCAAAATCCGTTTCACATTTTAGCACGACACCTATCACACAGTGGCACTGCTGCTGCGTTCAATTGGAGTACAGATGCTGAACTTTTCCATTTCAGAATCTGTGCTTTTCTTCTCTCAGTGTAGAAATTTCACTTATAATTTTAATCATATAAAAGTTCTATTATATTAATATTAGATCAGTATTTCGATTAAAA